CCCCCCAGTCCTTCCTTTCTCCAGACTAGCCAAGCCCAAACCCTGCAGCCGTTCTTCCTATCTTTTATAGTCTCCAGGCCTTCGATCCTCTTCCCTGAACTTCTTCCAAAGTCTCGGCGTCACGCTCAGGTGTCCCCAGGGAGGCCTCCACAGACATCCTGCCTCAGGTATCATTTTAAATAAAGGGGCCCTGAATGGCAAGGTGGGAGAGCAAACCACGGCCAAAACCTAAAACCTGACTTGTAAGTATTTTCTATGATTTCAAAATGACACAGGCGTAAACCGCTTAAACACGCCACTCTCTAAGCTCAAGAGGAAGAGGAAGGAGGAGATCATCCTACGGATGGAGGGTTACCTGGTCTGGTAGCAAAACGTCCAGGAACTAAATGATCCGCCCGGAGAGCACACCACTGCCTGAATAGCTTTAAATGGATTCACAAGTTTCATTCATTCATGTTGTGCGTTTTAAAAAAAAGGGAGTCCTCACCTTACCTACCACAGTTCACTTACTGACTGTTCAGTTACAACGGCTCTCTAAAAAGCGGCTTATGACCATTTTTCACTCTTTACGACCGTTGGGAGCAGCCCCCTGGTCAAAATTCGTGTGCTTGGCAACTGACTCATTTTTACGACGGCCGCAGGGTCACATGATCCCCTTTGGCAGCCTTCAAGGAAAGTCAACGGGGAAGCCAGGTTCCCTTCATGTCCGTGGTACTAATTCAAGCAGGATTCACTTAACAGCAGTGGCCAGAAAGGTCGTAAAATGGGGCAAAACTCACATTTCACCACTGTCTTGCTTAGCAACGGAAATGGTGGGCTCAACTGTGGCCGTAAGCAGGAAGTCCTCGACTTATGACCACAATCGAGCCCTAAATTTACGTCGCTGACTAAGACATTTGTTAAGTGAATTTGGCCCCGTTTTACCACTCTTCCTACCACGGCTGTTAAGTGAATCCCTGCAGTTCTTCAGTGAGGAACGTGGCTGTTAAGCAAATCTGGCTTCTGCGTGGACTCTGCTTGCCAGAAGGTCGCAAAAGGGGACCACGTGGCCCCCTCCGGGACACTGTAACCATCATAAAGAGGAGTCTGTTGCCAACAGACGCTACGACGGTCGTAAGCATGGAAAACGCTGATAAGCCACTTTTTTTCACTGCCGTTGTAACTCCGGTCACTAAATGAAGTGTTGTTAAGTCGAGCAGTACCTGCCATTAGGCAAGCCAGAGGTTTATTTGGGCTCCGCATTCCAGATTCACATTCCCAGTTTGAGTCTTGGGGGGGGGGGGGGG